ATACCGCCCCATTACGTGTTTACCCACCGTATATAAGACATTGACATCAATTTTGAGAGAGCGAAACAATCATCACCATTCAAATCGGGTGATGTCGCGCGCTCAGAATAGATGTCAGGACGGTGGTCGTGGAGCAAAGGACCCGCTCCTCATTGATGTGGTCATATCGGAACTTTTCCGCCGCCTGGATAGACTATAGGAAAACATTCGGCTCGGTGCCTCATACATTGAAAAATAGGGTCCTCGAGCTGTACAAGGTTTGCTGTACAGTTAAGACTTCATTGGGCATTGTATAAGGCAGTGAAGTACGATTTTTTGTCATCTAGGCAAGCGCATGACGGATGCGGAAAGCCAAATAAGGATAAGAAGGGGTATGTTCTTGAGTCCAATCTGGTTATGCCTTTCCCTGAACCCTCTCAGTACCTCACTGTAGGACTCCAGGAGGGGATTTCAGCTTCGGAAAGGAGGTACAAAAGTGACCCACCTTTTCTATATGGATGATCTCAAGTTATTCGCCTCCAGTCGCTCCCATCTTATAGAATTGCTTAACATCATCTGTGATTTTAGCAATTCTATAAAAATGAAGCTGGGGACAGATAAGTGTGCGGTCATCCAGGTTGAAAGAGGTAGGGTCGCTTATCCTGACGGTATAGATTTATCTATGCTCGTCAACATAAAGATCCTTTCCGAGGCTGAAACAGCCGATAGCTAGGATAGGTATCGATGAGACAGGTATGAAACAGTCAGTTTACCAAAGTGCTTTAACAGCCTTTTGTCGGGCGTGAATAAGACACTCATATAACGGTTGGGTCACGATCGCATTTCTACAGCATTTATTCTACTCTCGTGCTTCTTCTGCCACACCCAACTTTCACTACCATACATTAAAGTAGGTACTAACACAGCATTGTGAATTGCCATACGTGTCTTTTTGGACACATTCTGACTTTTCACAATGGGGTGTAGAGCCCCATTCACTCTATTTCCTGCATTCACTCGTTGTTCTATATCCTTATCATATCTACTAAATCAATCCCTGCTAAACACACATCCCAAATACACAAACTCATCTACTTGCTTGACCAACTCCCCTTCTATTTTTATTTCACATATCGTTTTACTTTCTTCTCTTTCAAAAACCATAACTTTGGTCTTACTTGCGTTCACTTTCATTCCCTTTTCTTTTAATGTCCTCTTCGTTAATGTAACCATCATTTGCAACTCGGCCGCCGACGACGCAAGTATGACTTGATCATCGGCATAAAAAAGGCATTTGACGGTTAACTCACCCATTCTTAACCCGCATTCTTCTACTTTCAAATTTTCCAAACAACTGTCCATAAATAGGTTGAACAGCCACGGGGAAGCCACACAGCCCTGTCTGACACCTTTGTGGGTGCCAAACCAGTCCGAGTAGGCCCCGTTGATCCTGACACAAGCACTAGAGTCCCTATACAGAGACTTCAATGCCTGTATCAACCCAGCGCTCAACCCAAATGATTTCAGTGTTTTCCATAACACATCCCTATCCACTCTGTCATAAGCCTTCTCAAAGTTCATGAACGCACAAAAAACTTTTTGATTTTTGGCCAAAAACTTCTCCGCGATCATGCGCATGGAAAAGACCTTATCCGTACATCCCATTCCCTTTCCAAATCCCGCTTGAGCATCCCAAATTTTTCCATCAGTTTATTTCATAACTCTTTCAATTAGTACCTTAGCATACAGTTTTCCCACAATGCTAAGAAGACTGATACCACGGTAGTTTTTACAGTCCTGCTATGATCCTTTTCCTTTATATATTGGGACTATCAGTTCCCAACATAAATTAAACAAGGTGTCAGCAGATCTGCCACCACTCCTTCTCCAGCCCTTAGCATTTCGAGGGATACTCTATCATATCCGGCTGCCTTACCTGCTTTCATACTTTTCATTATTTCATCTATACTTATATCTCTATCTATTTCCTCTTCTTTCGGAATTTCTATTTCATTTAATTCAAACTTCTCATCACTCATAAACACGCTTTCAAAGTATTCCTTCCATCTTCTTAAACTCAAAACTTCGTCATTCATAATACAGACATTCTGGTCTCGTATAGCATTCATTCTAGGCTGTTTTGAATGTCCCCTGGCAGTTCTTACGAGTTTCCAGAACATTTTAATGTTTGCCTGGAAGTTATCCGATATTCTTCTATCATTCTTATCCATTCTTTCTTGCTTTTTCCTTTCAACTACTTCTTTTACTCTCTTATTTAGATGTCTAAAGACTGCCTTTTCCTTTCAATATCATCATTCATACTGCTAGAATTACTAGCCTTGGTTGCTAGTAAATCTAGCCATGCTTTCTTCTTTGCTTCAACTTCCACCCGTACCTCATCATCCCACCATAACGTGTTATTTTTCCTTTCATTCGTTCTCTTATTTATACCACATACTTCGGTAGCTGCATCCACTAAACCTTTCATGACATTATACCACACAGTCTCCAAGTCTAATTCATTCATACACAATTCAGTCATACCACTTATATTTTCTCTCAATCTACATTTGAACTTCTCTTTCACACCTTCCTCTTGTAACCTCTCTGTTCTTATACGCTGTAACGCAGCGGTAGACACAGATGTCCGATGCCTCCAACGTCTGAAAAGACCATTAATTCGGCATAAGACCAAGTAATGGTCCGTCCCTACGCTAGAGCCCCGGTAAACCCTTGTATCTACCACCGCGCTCCTCATTCTTTCATCGACAATTATGAAATCAATCATACTTCTATCATCACCTCTTTCCCATGTATACGTGTGAATCTTCTAATGACGAAAGAAAGTATTCGTCACAAAAAAGATTCTTTTCCACACATACGGTGAGGAGGCTTTCACCATTCTCATTTAAACTTTCATCACAAAACGTTCCCAATATCCTTTCATAACCAAGCCTCCTCACCCCAACCCTTCCATAAAAATCTCCTAATATCACAATATTTTCATTAACCTTGCATTTCATTAGCACCATCCTTACCAACCCCCAAAACTGCTCTCGGATATAAGTGGGCTTAGACATGTCTGGGGCGTAGACCCCTAAAACAAACAATTTCTTTAAGCCCACTTTCATTTGTATTCATAGCAATCTCGGGCTTACACATTCATACTCTTTCAAACAATGACCCTTTCTTTCTGGAAGGATGATACCAACTCCCTGGCATGCCCGCTCGGTCTCGTCTACACAAGACCAGTACGTGGTATACATGCCATGTGTAGTGGCATTATTTCCCTTCCGTTCCGTCTCATTTACACATAACACGTCTATTCCTCTATCATACATCATACACAAACTTCATCCATCTTATCATTCATTCCTCCACATACATTCAATCTAGCCAGACGGGCTTCCGCAATCCACTTTTCGGGGAACAGAATGTGATGGGTGGTGAATCTCGTCGCCGGTTTTCCTCCCGGAGATTCTTCACACCCCTACCCCATTAAAAGGGCGCCGGGAACTCGGGACCATTTCGTAAATTTTTGCTTCATAGTGCGAAAGTATAATATAAGTATATATTTAGTACTTATTCACGCACAATCCCTGACGGGGTAGCCAGAGAGAACAGATCGCCAAGTGTCACAATCCTTACATAACTCTTTCGCTTCTTTCAGATTCATTATCTTCTTCATACAGTACTTATTCAAATTTCAAGAAAATATTCCACTTATAGAATACTTGTTAATCTTAAAGTTATGACACTGCTTAATTTACTCAAGGGTTGATATTCAAGAAACTAAAAGGAATATAATAATTCCTACAAAAGATAGCTTCCATGTCTGAGTTTAATTTATCTGTACTTACACTATTTTCATAAAATTAGCACATATTCTCCTTAACTCTTTATTAAGTCAACTGTGAGGAAAGCCTGTGTACAGCAGTGGAATTTTGATAGGCCTCTTATTTAACTTTGGCTTCTATATTGTCTAGTGTAAACAAAAGATATTATTCAAGAGGTATAACTACAATAAGCTCTAATGAGAATGATACATAAAAAAAATACCTATCAATATTTTTTTAAAACATACTATAAATTTATTAGTAAGTGAAGTGTAGGGCAGCCACTAGTGTATTATCTATGGCAGCCATCACTAAATGAAGTGACGATCTTGTAAGGCATACAGGAAGTTGATGGATGCAGGTGGCTCAGGACTGTGTTTTGTGAAGTTCCTTGGGGAAGACCTATGTTCAGCAGTGGACTTGTGAGGGATTGTAATGATAGTGATCATATTATATCTAAACTACCAAAATATGTGTAGCAGATCTATAGTACCTAAACAATATTTTTCAAGCATAAGTAGCAGTTTGATTAAAAAAAAAAAAACAATTTTAATTTTTATGGCAACCCTCAATATTATTTAGGAACTAACTCTTTCACCTACAAAAATAAGACAAGAAATGGCTGACCTGATGACAATCTATATATATTATAATTAATAATAGTCAGCATTCTTTACCAGTCAACCTATGGTGTAATGAAATATTGCTAGGTCCCTTAACTGATATATAGTTATAATTAATATATTTAACAAGTCAATTCAAAAATAAATATAATATCAAATAACCATAAATTATTTTGTCCTTCTCCTCTCCCATCTCTCTCTCTCATATAAAAAGGTTAAATAAGTCAGTACTTACCAATTAAGATGGCTTACTTTGAACATGCAGTTTAAAATTTGTTTATTAAATTACCACTAGTAAAATGAAATCCTAAACATTCACCTATAATCTCATATGTCAAGTTAAAAATTAATTATTCAAAATTTTCAATCTTCATAGATAGTATGAAATTATGAGATATTTTGCTTCTTAATATTTGAGACCATAAAACCTTAAAAGGGTTTATCGGATCATCATGCACTCATAAAATAGCTATTGATAAAATACGATGGATTCTTAAAAAAGAAACAAAATCGTTTACTTAATTATTATTTAATATCTAATAAAACATTATTATTTAAAATGTTAGTTTATTGCTAAAGCATCATTATGTGCTTCTTGTGCTAATTGCACTTGCAGATTCAGTAACTTATTCTTCAATACTACAACTCCCATTAGTACAATGTTCTCTGGTTTTAAAGCTCCTGATGACTCGACATTATAGAAAAATTTATTAGGTTTTGCTTCCCAGTTAAACTCCGCTTCAAACTGGTTTTCATCAAGTTCTGTATGCTCACTTTTAGGCCATTCATCTGGCTTAGGATATAAAGTGTGTCTCATCATATTGTCTGGATCATATTCAAATGAAACACCAGCTGTTGGATTCCATTTAGCGTGCTCCTTACCAAAACCTTTCTTAGCATATGCTCTCAATTTCAATTCTTGCCCTTTACGTAATTTTATAATAAGAATTTCATCAATCTCACCATAGTCAGTCTGATCTTCGTCTCTGTGCCGGGATGTGACTGGTACTACTCTAGGGTCACTAGATTTTAAGTCCGCTGTTGTCACATGCCTGGTTTGATCATCTGTGCATTTCACATCGAGTGTGAACTCCACACTGCATTCAGTACAAAAATCAGCACACATGCAATCTCTGGAATATCGAATTTTATCCACAACATCATCTGAAATGAGGGGTATTAAGCCAATACGATGCGCTAAAAATTCATCACTTAGGACAGTTGAATTTGCTTCTAACTGTACCCAATCTATAGCCATGGTTGGAGTCTCTGCTATAAACACGCGTCGCATACTATTTGCTACACTAAGCTCAGTATCTTCAACCACAAACTTTACATTGTCATCGGTTAGCTCTGTGATATGTACAGATGGTTGATTTGCATACGGCATTTCGAATAATTACAGTGCTGTTCACAATTAAAAATAAATCCGTATCCGTAGGAATAAATAAATAATACGTGTTCAGTTTTCACCTTTCAGTTCGCGGATAAGCTTGGTGATTTGCAGATAACAAATAAAATAACAATTTAAATAAACTGTTCTGTCACTGTCATCTGTCATTCCACAATCCACAGCACTGTTGACAACATGGACCATGGAGGTTAACCTCTATAACAACAAGGTTAACAACGTAAAAATCTGAGTTGCCATATGTCACGGTCTGGTTTGCTGTGTTCTAAGGGGAAAAAGTACTAAATTGCCCTATTTATAATTATTTATTTAAAAAAGTCTATTCCTCATTTGTTTCTTCTCCGTAAAGGTTTCTTATCGTTTCTATCATTTCATTTCATTCATGTTAATCTAGTGAGTGTTTTTCCTTACTTATAATTTTTTTTACAAACTGCATACACTAAATATTTTATTTTCATATTTTTTGTTTTTCATTTATTTGTTGTGCCTTTTAGTAAACTTTCCTTTATAATCTGATAGAAATCACTCAGATGACATATACAAACTTGCACATGTTTATTATATCACTACTAACTCCACTATTAAATCCAATACTAACAATGCTTATTTCGAAATGTAAGATTTTCGTATGCAACAGATATCTATCTACCACATTATAAATAATAAATTATAATCAATCACCAATAACATTGGACAAAGTGTACCTATCATACCTAGCGCAGTTGTATGAAGCTATGTCTCTGTTCCGTTTCTTTACTCGTGTGGTACATATGTTTCGTTACACTAGTGAAAAAACCGTTTCGTTTCACCTTATGTATAACTGCCGTATTTTGTGATACGGCAATGAGAAGCCAGTCGTATTCCATATTTTCTGAAAAAAGATCGTGGATTGCCGCATAACACGGCAATTGCCGTATAGTACGGTAATTGCTGTATCAATGGCAACCACAGACTAATATGATGCCTAATGGCAGCACTGTTCCACAGTTTCATAGCAAGCTATTCATTCATAACATTTGTTGTTGTTGCAAGCAAAGGTCTTAGACTATACGGCCTAATTCGATGTTTACTAAATTCTGTACAATATGTTTCTTGGTAGATTTTGACTTAATCTAGGGAACAGTTGACGAAAATGACAAAAGTATCTCAATAACAGTTTATAAAAGTCCACTACTGAACTTCGCTTCCCTATAAATTACCTCATAGGGAAATTTTGCCCTAGATAACACTAAAATACTGCCGTTGCTTTTTTGCTGAGCTGGAGCCATGTATTTCCGTCACCGAGCAACAAACAGGCAGACCATGTTGCATGAAAAATATTTGATGACGCTGAACTCGAACGGCTTCGAGGTGAGGCTGTTCCAGTGATAGGCTGGTGTGACAGGATATGCGGCTCTCCGAGTTGCAGAGCAACCCGCGCCCGACGATGGAATAATCGCCCAGGAACTAAAGTAAATGAAGAGCATATTGGAAGGAGCGCAAAACGCGCAGTACGCCTCTTGAGAATCGACCGCGACTTCCCCGAATACACCTAAGTAAGCGGAATCGGGCTGTCATGAGAGCTCTAAACCCAATGTTGGTGACCTTTTTGGAAGCCAGCCGGGACCTTTGCGATACGGACTTAATTTTATTTGGCACCGCAGTGGCCGTATTATTGGCGCCATCCTCCCCACGGCTGGACGTGCTTACTACACAAAGTAGCACCATCCCAGCCTGGTGAAAAAGAATTGAAGACTATATCGCAAAGGCAAGAGTCCTCCTCGGCAAACTAACAAGCTTTAGGTTAGGCAATAACAGGCCAAGAATTGTATGCACCGCTAGGATGGCGTTTGCTGGGACAAATGTCAGTTTGTTCCAGCCGGATATTGCGCAAAAACTGACGGAGTGTATAGACTAGCTGAAGCAGAGAATCGCTGTTTGTTGAAAGCGGATTCAGCGATATACAGAGAGGCCAACACGGTTCAACCAGAATCGTCTCTTCCAGAGTGATCATAAGAGGCTCTATCAATCATTGGAGCGACCAATGGTACGTGGAATGTGCCTAGCGATGAAATAAGCCGACACTGTCGTATTCCGTAGACCACAACGAGGGTCCTAGGACGGAAGTTGTGGCGAGCCAGTGTGCGAATGTTATGCCCATGGACCCCGTCACCATAACGCCGGACGACATAGCTGAGACAGTGCGTAGGGCCCCGAACTGGAAAAGTCTCGAAGGGCTGCATCACTACTGGCTGAAGGGGTTCGTGGTGTGTTACGCTGTGATTGCCCGTCAGTTTCAAGAGGCTCTCGACCAGAAGTTGCTCCCGAGCCTCTTCACTACGAGGATCACTCATTTGGTTCCCATATACCAGGATACTACAGACCCAAACAAACACCGCCCCATCACGTGTCTACCCATCATGTACAAGACAGTAACATCCATTTTGAGTGCGAGAATATATCATCACCTGAACTCAGGTGATGTCGCGCGATCAAAATAGATGTCGGGGCGGTGGCCGTGGAACCAAAGAACCACTCCTCATTGACGCCGTTACTGCCAAGGTGATTAAACGCAACCGTCAGAACTTCTCATTATATATCATATTGACTGTACAGTTAGAAACTTCTTCGTATGTGGTAGTGGAGTAATATCCTTTGTCAACTAGGCGAGCGAATGACGGCTGCGGAGAACCACATAAGGATATCTAGGGGTATCTTCCAGGGCGATTGTTTGAGTCCAATCTGGTTCTCTCCTAAGCCCTCTCAGTACCTTACTGGAGGGCTCTGGGAGGGGATTTCAGCTTCGGAATGGAGGTACAAAAGTGACCCACCTTTTCTATATGGATGATCTCAAATTATTCGCCTCCAGTTCGCCCCCATCTTATGAAATTGACGTGGTAGAGCCATGTTGCAGGTATAAATAATAGTATAGTTGTGGCACGAATAGGTCGGCTCGACCGGGAAGGACCACGCTCTCAAAGAATACCAGCGTAAAATAGCAGCTTAATGCTGCTGTGTTTCGTATGGTGAGTGTAGAGAACCGGAGACCCATTTTACTGGAAAAGAGGCATTCTACCTTAGTCCACATGGCTGACAACGCATCTGCATTTTATTCGCAAACGAAGATAGACACTTATCATCATGTGGACTGTGTGCTCGATTGTCACCCTTTTTCTATAACACAAACTGCAGCTGACGTGAAGCACCAACGTTCCGGGAAGTCTGCAGTTTGTGATCATATCCTAGACGGCCCCCGCCATTACATTAAATTTGATAAACCACAAATTCTCGCGAAAGAACATCGATTCCTGCCAAGGATGATACGTGAGGCTATTGAAATTAAAAAACATCCTAATTTAAATAGAGAGGGAGGCTGGGTACTATCACCTGCTTGGGATCCTGTAATTCATAAAATTAAAACTAAACCCAAGCATACCACTGCAAGACTTCAAGACACAGTTAGTTCATTCTGCGTAGATCGGACCAAAATTATTAATTAAAAAAGCTGAAGGTACTCCGGTTTAACACTGACATCGGGACGTCAATCACCTCAGTCCCCCGTGACCACGGTTGCTGGAAAGCAACCAAAACGTCGGGAATATAAAATAAGTTAATTAAATGCGATAAAATCCGTAAAAATAGTTTTATTCAATGTGTATTGTTCGCGTAAATATAAGAAATCATTAGATACCTGGACATGAAACAGTCAGTTTGCGATCTGTTTTATGCACGCTTGACTAAAGTGTTTAACAGCCTTTTGTCGGGCATGAATAAGACACGCGTGTAACGATTCGGTCATACCTGTCCTCATGTATACCTTTGGCATACTGAGATTGGCTCAAGCTGAAATTAACGCCCTGGATAGAAAAGTCCGCACCATCATGACCTCCCATAGGATGCACTATCCGAGATCATCGGTAATGATCCTATATTTGCCGCGGAAGCATAATGGGCGTGGCTTTTTAAGCGCGCTCACCATACATAGTCGTGAAGTTTGCAGCTTTCGTAATTACTTCCTGACGAGATCAGATGATCCATTGTATATGACGTCCTCTTTTGTAATAAAGGGCTTACCCCTCTATCCTTAGCCGACGGACAATGGTAAGACCCGGCAGCATTTCTGATCTGGAGATTGTATAAAAGGAGAAGGAGCTCCACGGGATGTTCTACAAGGCTCTACATGAACCTTTCTTAGACACAGTTGTCTCGTCCACTGGCTACGTTTCGGTGACCGCTTTGGGAAAACCGATGGTTTTGTCTGTGCCATACAGGATCAGGTTATTAAGACCAACAAATAGCGGTAATACATCTTAAAGGATGGCACCGTCGACATCAATCGAGCTTGTCGCCATCCTGGTGAGTCACTTATGCATGTCATCTCCGGTTGTTCGGCTCTTTTTAACTCTGAGTACTTGCATAGATACAATCTAGTAGCCAGGTTTCTACACCAGGAGCTCGCTCTGAAATACGGTCTCATGAATTGGAAACTGCCTTATTAAATAATAAGTACTTGCCGGAAGCCGTGCTTGAAAATGACCGCGCCAGTACTGGGACCGGGCCATAATCACAGGACTATTCTTGCGAATAAGCCTGATTTTGTGCTGATGGGCCTGGACCGGGACACAGTCGAGGATATTTTTGGTCGACATTACAATTACGTACGGCGAGAACCTCGTGAAGGTCGAAATGGATTAGAAGGCAAAATATCTGAACCTGGCTCATGAGGTGACCGACATGTGGGGTTGGTCTGCCGACTGAAATTATTCCTGTGGTCGTCTTTGTGAACGGGTTAATCCCGGTCAGCCTCTCGGGCGATCTGACGCGACTGGAACTCCGTGATGAACCGCTTCGAGCTCAAATGCAGAAGGCGGTGCTCCTCGATGTCACCCGCATCGTCCGCCGGTTCCTTTCCCTCCCTCCTAACCCTAGGAATACTTTATAAATACCCCAATAATAATAGTCATACATATCAGGCTTTTTTTCAGCCATTTCAAATATCA